GGTCAGGTGAGTCCACGCATCTATGCACCGCGTGCCTGTTAGGTGCCAGGCACTGGACTGGCTGCTAGAGCTTAGGAAGATCTGCCACAGATCAACTGCTCTGGGGGTCCACAGTCCAATGGGGTCATTATTTCAAACCAATGTGGCAAATACCATGAAGAAGTTGTGTCTGGAGCGAGGGGTATAGCCCAGTGATCGTGCCTGCTTACCATGCGTAAGGCTTTGGATTCTTTTTTTTGGGGGGGGGTCCGGTCATGGGGCCTGAACTCTGCCTGGGCGCTGTCCCTCAGCTCTTCAGCTCCAGGCTAGCGCTCTACCACTTGAGCCACAGCGCCACTTCCGGCTTTTTTCTTTTTGCTTATATGGTGCTGAGGAATTGTACCCAGGGCCTCAGGCATGCAAGGCAAGCGCTCTACCACTGAGCCACCTTCCCAGTCCCAAGGCTTTGGATTCTAACCCCAGCACCACATTCAAATAAAGCAATAAATGGTGGCACACACCATCAGAGATAAAGGTAGATATCAGACAGATTTGCCAACTCAGGCAGAAGAGTCTGTGAAACGTTTATCTCCAAATAATCAGCAAAAAGCTGGAAGTGGATCTGTGGCTCAAGTGGTAGAACACTAGCCTTGAGGAAAAAAAGAAAAGCAGGGACAGCACTCAGGCCCTGAGTTCAAGTCAAGTCCTAGAACCAGCACCAGAAACCCTGAGTTCAAGTCCCAGGAACGGCACAAGAAAGAAAAAAGAAAGGAGATAGATAAAGATACATAAAAGAGATGAGGGGCTGAGAAGGTGGCCCCGTGGTAGAATGCTTGCCTAGCATGTTTCAGTGAAGCCTTGGGTTTGAATCCTCATTACCACATACACGGAAAAAGCCAGGAGTGGCGCTGTGGCTCAAGTGGTAGAGTGTTAGCCTTGGGCAAAAGAGGCTCAGGGGCAGTGTCCAGGCCTTGAGTTCAAGTCCCAGGACTGGCAAGAAAGAGAGAGAGAGAAGAAAGAGAAAAGGAAAGAAAGGAAAGGCATAGCACCAAGGGCTTCAAGAACACAGAAGCCACCCCCGGTGGCGGGGAGGACGCGGAGTCGGGAGCGCAGAGGTTTCCCGGGAAGGATGGGTCAGGCCAGCCTGGCTCAAAGCCGGGGTTGGGAAGGGGGCCGCCAGCGGTGAGGCAGGCCAGACAAAGGGGGACAGATAATCAAATAAGAACCCGGCTGGGCCTCGGGGCTCCTGGCGGGCTGCGGGTTGATGGTCAGCCGCCTGCCCCTAGGGCTGGGCGCGGGGTGCGGAGTGCGGGGCCCGGGAGGACGCGCGTGCTCCCCACGCTGCGGGGCGCGCTCGGTGCCCAGCGGTGCCGGCCCCTGGGTGGTCCTATTATTCACACCCGACGAGGTTTGGCTGGAGGACTGGGAGGTGGACTCAGCCCACGCCCCGGAGCGAGGAACCCCAACGCCAGGGGTCCCCCCAACACACACACACACGGCGCCTCTGGGCCCGGTGCGCGCCCCGGGGCCGTCCAGCCCACTTCCACCCCGGCCCCGGGGACCGTGGCTCCCTGCCCGGGAACAGGGGCTCCGTCGGGCAGAGCCGCGGAGTCTGGGGAGGGTGGGGAGGCCGGGCGGGCTGGGCGGCCGCGAGGGGAGGCTCCTCCACCGGCCCCCGCGCGCAGCCGGGGCTGCGGGAGGGGGACGCGGGGCAGGCCCGGCGGCGGCGGTGGCCGCGGCGCCCCGGCTCATGACCCGACAGGTGCGCGCAGGAATGCGGCCCGACTGACTCACCAGCGCCTCCTTCCTACCTGCGGCGCCCCATAAAGCGCTCCCCTCTTCCCGCACGCCCAACCGTCGTCTTCTTCGTCCGGCTCCCCCGGCCAGCCCCACCGAGCTGCAGCCTCCGGGGGTTCCCCGCCCCCCCCCCAGGGCGTCCAGTCCAGACAAGGTAGGTCCAGGGGAGGGGCTGCGTGGGGACGGGGCGCCGGGAGCGGGGCGCAGGGCCGGCGGGCCGCAGAGCGCCCGGGCACACTCTCCTGATCACGGTGCCCTGGGGTGGAGCGGAAAGTGGGCGCCCTCCTCATCCTGGATATCTGAGCTTGGAGCTGCCCGGCTTGTGTCTTTCCTGCCCCTTCCTGAAGCCTGGCAGGCCCTGAGTCCCTCTGCCGGGGCTGTCCAGGGCAGGCCCAGCCTGCCCGGGTGTGCCCAGGGGGTACCTGGATGCAGATGGGGGGTGTGGGGGGAGGCGGGTTGTAAGGGAGCTGGGGAAGGATGATGGCCCTCAGATCTCTCTACTAGGATGGGTGTTGAGTGGTGGATGGGCAGGGGGCCAGATGTCAGACACCTAGGCCCACGGGGCTGTGCCCCTCAGGAGTTTGCACACACACACACTCCAGGGAGGGAGCTGCCGCCCTGCAGTAAATGCCCCTCCAGTCTGACTGATCCAGGACCTGTTGGGTGGTGCCACAGTCCAAGTGGGGTGTTGGGGGAGTCCCGGAGTTTCCATTGAATCAACCATCTTGCCTGCCCTCCTCCCGGAGTTGTCTCCCTCCAGATACCCTTCCTCCCGGAAGTTCTCCTGGCACCGCCTAGCAGCCCTGCCCCCTGCTCCTGCCCCTGCCCACCTCTGCGGCCTTTTCCTCCACACAGCACTTTGCTGTCACTGCACCCCGGGGGTGCCGGATAGCCTCCAGGGGCAGAGAGCCTTGTCAGCCCTGAGTCCAGGCGAAGCCAAAGGAGGTAGCCTGGTTGTTGCTGTCCCCCACGGGGCTGGGAACTGAGCAGAGAGAGAGGACAGCTGGAGCGTCAGCAAGAAAGGAGTGTCTGTCCCCTTAGTCCCGGCTTCCCACGGATGACAGAGCAGCCAAGGGCCCAGGAAGGGCCCATTTAGAGTGGGTGTCCCGAGGATTCGGCCCAGCCTGCCACAGCTACGACTTGGGATAAACCCACGATGCTAACTTTTATGTGAAATCTCGTTGTTTCGCAAATTGGCAGCTACTTTAAAAACTCTGACTACAGTAGAGGCCAACAAAGGGCTGAGTAGCCCGTGTAGCCTCTGAGGATGACATGTTGGGGGTGTCCGCTGTGGGGGGTCTGCATTGCCAGGTCCTGACCAGTCCCTCCCTGCAGGATGGGGGACTCCTGGCATCTTTTGGGCCTCTTGTCTGTCTGGGAAACCAGGTTCGGTGGGGATTCCGTTGCAATCCTATCCAGGAAGTGCCAGGTGCCTGTGGCTGTCCTAGCTGTGTGCAAAAGCCCTGCAGCCCTGTGTGCCAGGCCTGTGGGCAGGGGTGGGTGAGGAAGGGCTGGACTTGGCCTCTGCCAGTGCCTCTACCTGCCTGGGTAATGGTGCCCCAAGGAAGCCAAGTGTGCAGCCGGCATTGTATAGCATGAGGGTGTGGCGTCTCCACCCTGGGGCTGCGAGAAAGTCATTTCCCCCTGGAGCCCCACCTTGACTGACTCAGCCCTAGCTTCTCACTGCTGTCCCCCTGGGGTGCTGGCTCTGTGTATAGATATGCTGGCTCAGGTGCTTGTCCCTTTAGGGGACATGGCTTAGAAGGTGGGGGGCAGTAGCTTTCTGCCCTTCACCTGGGCAGGGCCTCCCATGCTTCCTCAGGCCTCAGCCCTCCAGACCCTGGGACTGTTCCTGCCCCACTTGTGAGGGGAGGGGCTGAGAAAGGATTCAAGAAGGAGAGCCTGAGCTCTTGAGAGAGCTAGGAGATCTAGAGAGAGGTATGGCCCTGCCCTTTGCCCTTTGATCTGTAGGCCCTGGTGGCTCTGTGGCCATCCCCTTTCATTTCCCAGGCTTCAGCTTGTCCTTTTCAAAGACCTGCAGAATGCCGGACCTGCAAGCTCGCCCTGAAGGTTGCTGATGAGTTCCGATGGTTTCAGAGTGAACCAAAGGGCTAGGCGCTGGTAGATCACGTGTGTAATCCTAGCTACTCAGAAAGCTGAGATCTGAGGATCACACTTTGAAGCCAGCCTGGGAAGAAAAGTCTGTGAGACTCTCTAATTAGCCACAAAAAGCCAGAAGTGGAGCTGTGGCTCAAGTGGTAGAGCACTAGGTTCCAACACAAATGCTCAGGGACAGAACCCAAGCCCTATGCCCAGCATACACACACACACACACACACACACACACACACACACAAAGTAAACCAAAGGCCATTAGGGAGAATGTCCTGGAATTGTCACTGTGTGTATAAGAGTAATCAGGAGGCTGAGTGCCAGTGGCTCACGCCTGTAATCCTAACTACTCAGGAGGCTGAGATCTGAGGATCACGATTCAAAGCCAGTCCAAGGCAGGAAAGTCAGTGATACTCTTATCTCCTATAAACCACTAGAAAACCGGAAGTGGTGCTGTGGCTCAGGCGGTAAAGCCCTCGCCTTGAACTAAAGAGTGCAGGGACAACGCCCAAACCCAGAGTTCAAGCCCCATGACAGACCAAAAAAAAAAAAAAAAGCAGGAGGGACTTGTAACCTTCTGGGCTGACCGCTCAGGACACCCCAAAACTCAACTCTGGGGCAGGTCAAGGGAAGAAAAAGGGGGCCAGTGACTAATGTCCCATCCCTGGCCTCTGTATTAGAAAAGATCCCCTCCCCACCTGGTCTAGCCAGGTGGACCCATCCAGAGAGGGTAGACCGGACTCTTTCTAAAGGTGGCCCCTTGCTGGACCTGTTAGGGAAAAGACAGAATAAGCCACGCCCTGCCCTGCCTTCAGGGAGACCAGCACCAAGAGACCTAGTACTGAGCAGGGTCGGAGCCTGGAGCACACAAAGGCCTCTGGGCAGGACAGAGGCATACGGGATTCCTAGCCTCTGCAGGGGTGGCAAGTCCCACTCTTTCTGGGCCCTACCACTCACAGCTCATAACTCTGAGCTTCTGATTCTACGCCTGCACAGCAAGTTGACCTCTTGCTTCTCTCGAGGAGCTCTGGTGGGGACCCAGGGAGCTGACGGTGCCAACCAGGGCTATTAGAGGCATTGTGTGTCCATCGTGTTTCTGCAGGAGGAAGACGATGGCAGGGCTGCATCCCATCCCATGGACCATGGTGCTTTTGGCAGCTCTGCTAAGCATCAGCCTTCCTGGGGGCATGGGTAAGTCCACACGTCCCATAGCCGCCTCTAGACAGCGCTAGCATTCTCCAGGCATTGCCTATCTGTAAGGACACATCCCAGAAAGCCATCCAACAAGTGTGCCACGGGCACAGTTCTAGATGGCTGGGGAATCTGAGACCCCAGACCATCTAGCCCGCAAGTGCTAGGCTCTGCCAGCTGGCCTGAGATGGCCAGGAGGAGGAAGGCTGTGGAGAGGACAGAGGTGCTCCTGCTCAGAAAGCTGTTGTTTCCTCAGGCTGAAGTTCCTCAGAGGGGAAACTGAGGCTTCCACGGTGGAGCTGACAGTTCTATAGGAATTTGAAGGAGAGAGCTTGCTGACACACCAACTGCTCTCGGCATGTCCCCAAGTTGGCAGATGACTGGCACTACCTCTTACCAATTAAATTTTCCCAAGTAGGGCTGGGAAGGTGGCTCAGTGGTAGGGCGCTTGCCTGGCATGCATGAGGCCCTGGGTTCCATTCCTCAGCCCCACATAAGCAGAAAAAGCCGGAAGTGGCGCTGCTGTGGCTCAAGTGGTAGAGCGCTCACCTTGAGCTGGAGCGCTGAGGCCCAGAGTTCAAGCCCCATGACTGCCAAAAATAAATAAATAAAAAATAATTCCACCATAGAAATGGTCAAAGACAGATAAGTCACGGCTCCCCCTCCCTTCCTCCCAGAGCTGTTGTTAAGCATTGTGATGATTCAAGCCCAGGAGACCACCCACTGTGTGGACTGGTGCACACAGTAGGGCCTCGCTGTGTTTCTGACTGGACAGAGCCAAGGAGAAACCCTAAGGGCCTTTGTGGAAACTCAGGGATTTTCCTCATTCATCTGCTGTCTGCCAGGACTTGTGTTAGGCAGTAACACAGACACGGCTAAGGGGACAGAGTCCTGTGAAGTTATAATGCCAAAAAGCAGGAGCTATAAAGGGGAGGGGCCAGCAGAGGGCAAGGTGCAGTAGATGCTGCTTGTCCCAGGGGCCATTGAAGACAGGACATTGGCAGGGCCTGAGGAGTTAGCAGCCAGGGGAAACAGCCAGGGTGTTTCTGCTGACAAATGGCCAGCACCTCCAAGTCAGCCCCACCACCCATCCATCCCCTGAAACCTAAAAAGTTCCAGACCTAATCGTTCATTCCAAGCTATGCTACCTGGCGCAAAATGTTTCCTCCCCTCTAAGATCAGGAGAGAAGAATCCCCATTCACAGGTGAGGGTAGGGAGGTAGGAGAGGGCGTGGCTACCAGCGAGGCTCTCCTCTGTGTCCCCTCCCTCCCTCCCCCCCAGCCAATCGATGCAAGAAGGCTCAGGTGAAGAGCTGCACTGAGTGCATCCGAGTGGACAAGGACTGTGCCTACTGTGCAGATGAGGTGAGCGTTTCAGTTACTTCTGTTTTCCTCCTCTTCCTCCTCCTTTAATGGTGCAGGTAAGGGGGCTTGAAGACAGGCCTTAGCCTTTACTTTTTTTTAAATTATTTTTTTAATTTTACCTTTAAATTTTTTAATATAATTTTACCGTTGTTATTAAGGATTTCCGTTTCTTAAGTCAGGTAATGAGTATATTTCTTTTTGGACAATGTCACCCCCTTCCTTCACTTTCCCCCAGTCTTCCTCTCCCTTCCCTGCCCACAAGTTGCATTATTCATTTCCCACATTGTGTTTACTCAATACCATGACTGCATTTGTTCACCCTTTCTCCCTCTACTTCTGTGCCCACCCCTTTATCCTCCTCCTCCTCCTCCTTCTTCGCCAGTCCTGGGGCTTGAACTCAGTGCCTGGGCATTGTCCCTGGGCTTCTTTTGCTCAAGACTAGCACTCTACCACTTGAGCTATAGCGCCACTTCCAGCCTTTTCTGTTTATGGGGTACTGAGGAATTGAATCCAAGACTATGACATGCTAGGCAAACACTCTACCACATTCCCAGCCCTCCCTTTATCCTTCTAAAATGACCCCCAAAAATAGCAAAAACACCACCACTAACAACAACAATAAAAAAAAGTTTCCATTTCCTGGAATTCATTTCAATCAATAGTATTTTAAATGTTTAGAGGAGTTTAAATGTTTAGAGGGTTCCTCCCCTAAGAGTATATTCTTTTAGTCTGACTGTGTGCGAATGCCTAGAGTCCTGTATAATTTCTCTCAGATGAGAGAAAACGTGCCATTTGTCTCCCTGGGTTTGGTTTACCTCACTTAACATGATTTGTTTTAGGTCCATCTATTTCCCAGCAAATGACATAATATTATTCTTTCTAATGGAAGAGTAAAATTCCATTGTGTATATCTGTCACATTTTTTTATCCACTCATCTGTTGGAGGGCATCTGAGCCATTTCCATATGAATAGCACAGCAATGAACATGGGTGTGCACGTATCTTTACTGTATCCTAACTTATCATATTCTGGGTAGATGCCCAACAATGGTATGGCTGGGTGATAGGGAAGGTCTAAGTTTAGTTTTTTGAGGTTGTACTAGTTTTCCTGCCCATCAACAGTGCAATAGTGTCCCTCAGCCTTTTCATTCGGGGCTGGCACTCTACCACTTGCACCACACCTTCACTTCTGTTTGGTTTTTTTTTTGGTGGTTAATTGGAGAAAAGAGCATCATGGACTTTTTCTGCCCAATCTGGCTTCAAACCTCAGTACTCAGATCTTAGCCTCTTGAGTACCTCTGATTACAGGTGTGAGTTACTGGCACCTAGCTTATGAGCTGGGTGTTCTTGGGGGTTCTTGATTTTGGAGGGTTTCTTTGGTGCTAGTCCCTGAGCTTTTTTGCTCAGTGCTAATACTCTACCACCTGAGCTACAGCTCTACTTTTGACTTTTTAGTGGTTAATTGGAGAAAAGCACCTCATAGGCTTCCCTGCCCAGGCTAGCTTTGAACCATGGTCCTCAGCTCTCAGCTTTCTGGGTAGTTTGGATTACAGGTGTGAACCACTGGTGCTGAGCCAACAAGTTCTATAGGAATTTTGAGGAGTCTGCTGATGCATCATCTGCTCTCAGTATGTCTCCAGTTGACAAATGACTGGCACTACCTACCAATTACATTTTCCTTGTCAACTTGAGGTCCTGTTGACAAACTCGCAGTAGACTCTGGTAGGAATATATTTTCACCATGGAAATTGGCAAAGACAGCCATCCTTCAGCCCAGGGGCTGAGAGACAGAGACAAGAGCCAGGATATCAGAACGAAAGAAATGCTGTTTTGGAACAGTCAGGAGATGGCCACTGCCCCTCCCTCCCCCCAAACCTCCATCTGCTTCTGGCCAGATGTTCAAGGAGCGACGTTGCAACACCCAAAAGGAGCTGCTGGCCGCGGGCTGCCGGCTGGAGAGTGTGGTGGTCATGGAAAGCAGCCTAGAGATCACAGAGGTGCGTGGAGCCTAAGGGCCGAGCTCTGCAGGGATGGTTACTGGGGGAGAGGGGTATGTGACCATAGTGCTCCTTGGGAGGACCGAAGCTCCCCCTTGGGCCTCCAGAGTGATCTTCCAGCCATCTGTTCCCCTCACCCCCAACACAGGCCACACAGATCGACACCGCCTTGCGCCGTAGCCAGGTGTACCCCCAGCGCCTGCAAGCGCGGCTGCGGCCTGGTGAAGAGCGGCACTTTGAGTTTGAGGTGTTCGAGCCTCTGGAGAGCCCCGTGGATCTCTATATCCTCATGGACTTCTCCAACTCCATGTCTGATGATCTGGACAATCTCAAACAGATGGGCCAGAACCTAGGTATGGCTGTGCCGTGGTGGGAGGCTGTAGGATGGAGCGGGGACAAAGCCAGCTGGCTCCAGCGGGCAACTCAGGACAGTTGCATTCACCACACCAGAAAGACAGGACATCCATGCCTCCCAGAAGACCCTCCCTGCTCTTGGGCAAGGGTCCCAGCCAAACCTCACCACATGGGACTTTAGGGGCCGCCAGCAGTGGCTCTCACAAAGGTGCCACTCCCCGCCACAAGGCAGTAGATAAATCTCAGCTCTGCAGACCAGGCTGCGATCTGATCCTCAAATATCCTCCTACTTTGCTAGAGGCATAACTCACCTGGGCCCCGGTACCTCAGCTGCTCAAGAGGCTGAGATCTGAGAATCGTGATCCAAAGCCAGCCCAAGCAGACAAATCCATGAGACTCTTATTGCCAGTTAACCAACAAAAAGCAAGAAGAAGAGCTAGGGCTCAAGTGGTAGAGCGCCAGCCTTGAGTGAAAAGCCCTGTGGGAACATGAGGCCCTGAATTCAAGCCCCAGAACAGGCACCAAAAAATAATTAATAGGTGCATAATTCTAGGTCTTCCAAGCCTCATTTCGTCAGCTAGAAGTAGGAACAAGAGCTACGAGAGCACAAAGCAAAGCTCACAGACCAAATGGGTCACATAAAGTGTGGGTCCTGCACTAGCCCTACCCCCACTGTGTCTTTGTGGGGCCTGCTGGGGCTCAGCTGTTCCCCCTCTTTTCTTCTTGTTGATATCCAGCCAAGATCCTGAGACAGCTCACCAGTGATTACACTATTGGATTTGGCAAGTTTGTGGACAAAGTCAGCGTCCCTCAGACAGACATGAGACCTGAAAAGTGAGTGATTGAGGGGCTGGGAAGGTGGCTCAGTGATAGAGCGCTTGCTTTGCATGCATGAGGCCCTGGGTTCGATTCTTCAGCATCACATAAGCAGAAAACAAGCTGGAAGTGGTAGAGCACTAGCTTGGAGCTGAAGAGCTCAGGGACAGTGCCCAGGCCCAGAGTTCAGGCCCCATGACCGGGGAAAAAAAAAAAAGGAGTGACGGAACAAGCCTCAGGTGAGAGGGGGTCCTGGCCCACCTCCTCAAAACGCTGACATCTACCACTAGATAAAATGAGTCCTGGGCTGGGAAGGTGGTAGAGTGCTTGCCTAGCATGCATGAAGCCTTTGGGTGCAATTCCTCAGTACCACATACACAGAAAATGCCGGAAGTGGCACTGTGGCTCAAGTGGTAGAGTGCTAGCCTTGAGCAAAACAGCTCAGGGACAGTGCCCAGGCCCTGAGTTCGAGCTCCAGGACTAGAGAGAAAGAGAGAGAGAGAGAGTCTGAGTCCTGAACACTAGAACACATAGATCCTCCCCTCCTCTCCCTGACACTCTCTCTCTCTCTCTCTCTCTCCCTCCTAGGCTGAAGGAGCCATGGCCCAACAGTGACCCTCCCTTCTCCTTCAAGAATGTCATCAGCCTGACAGATGATGTGAAGGAATTCTGGGATAAACTGCAAGGAGAGCGGATCTCAGGCAACCTGGACGCTCCCGAGGGCGGCTTTGACGCCATCCTGCAGACAGCCGTGTGCACAGTTGAGTTCCAGGAGGAGCCCAGTCCGCGGGGTCCAGGAGCCTGCGCCACCCACTGGCCGGCTCCAGAGCCGCTCCCAGGCCTCAGACAAACTCAGACCATTGGTGTGGCCCTCAATTCCAATCTAGGTTTTGTTTTTGTTTTTTGTTGGTTGTGGGACTTGAACTCTGGGGTCTGGGCACTGTCCCTCAGCTCTTCAGCTCAAGGCAAGTGCTCTACACTTGAGCCACAGAGTCACTTCTGGTTTTCAGGTGGTTAATTGGAGATGAGTGTCACAGGCTTTCCTGCCTGGGCTGGCTTTGAACCACAATCCTCAGATCTCAGCCTCCTCTTGAGTAGCGAGGATTACAGGCGTGAGCCACTGGCACCTGATTTAACTTGCTCTTTTTTAGTTTAAGATTATTTTTTTACTTGTGTAGTGGCTCATACCTGTAATCCTATGCAGGAGGCTGAGATCTGAAGATCATGGTTTGAAGCCAGCCTGGGCAGGAAAACCTGTAAGACTCATCTCCAACTAGTTATCTTAAAGCTAGAAGAGGAGCAGCTAAGGCTCAAGTGGTAGAGCACCAGCTTTGAGCAAGAAGCTCAGGGACAGTGCCCAGGCCCTGACTTTAAGCTTCAGTACCAACACAAACAAACAAAGAAAGAAAACCCTTTTTGAAATTAGTAACAGGAGAAAGTATCCCTGTATCGCTCTCCCTTATTTGCCTGCCCTGCTTGTTCTCTGCTAGCAGCCTGCCTGCTCACTAGGCCCGCCCCCTTCTTGTCTTCCTCAGAGGGCCATTGGCTGGCGCCCAGATAGCACCCACCTGCTGGTGTTCTCCACTGAGTCTGCCTTCCACTATGAGGCTGATGGTGCCAACGTGCTGGCTGGCATCATGAACCGCAATGATGAGAAATGCCATCTGGATGACACGGGCACCTACATCCAGTACAAGACCCAGGACTACCCATCAGTGCCCACGCTTGTGCGCCTGCTCGCCAAGCACAACATTATCCCCATCTTTGCCGTCACCAACTACTCCTACAGCTACTATGAGGTATGGAGTCTGGGCTCCACTGGGAGACAGGTGACAAGGCCAGGGGGTTCATGGAGCTTTGTCCCCTCCTTTTCCCTCAGCTTTGAGGCCCCTGAGAATGGACCCTAGTGGGGAGGTCAGTTGCTCATGTCCTAACTCCAAACCCAAGTAGAAGGGGGCTAAAAGAGTAAGCTCAGGGGCTGGGCAGGTGGCTTAGTGGTAGAGCGCTTGCCTAGCATGCATGAAGCCCTGGGTTCGATTCCTCAGTACCACATACACAGAAAAAGCTAGAAGTGGTGCAGTGGTAGACGGCTAGCCTTGAGCAAAAGAAGCTCAGGGACAGTGCCCAGGCCCTGAGTTCAAACCCCAGGTTTCAGGCCTCAGTGTCCCCATCTGTAAAGTGGAGATAATCTCAGAACTGTTGTCCATTTTTAAGAAGATGCTTAACCGGGGCTCTGGCGTTCTCTCCTGCAGAAGCTTCATACATATTTCCCGGTCTCCTCGCTGGGGGTGCTGCAGGAGGACTCATCCAACATCGTGGACCTGCTGGAGGAGGCCTTCTACGTGAGGGCCGGCGTGGGCAGGGGGTGTTCATGTCCTGGTTGAGAAGTGGGTCTGGGATAGGCCAGTAAAGAACGGTGTCAGCCGGGTGCCCATGGCTCCCACCTGTCATCCTAGCTACTCAGGAGACTGAGCTCTGAGAATCACAGTTCAAAGCCAGCCTGGGCAGGAAAGTCCATGAGACTCTGATCTCCAGTGAACCACCAGAAAACCAGGAGTGGCACTATGGCTCAAGTGGTAGAGCACTTGCCTTGAGCTGAAAAGCTCAGGGACAGCGCCCAGGCCCAGAATACAAGCCCCATGACTGATAAAAAAAAAAAAAAAGAAGAAGAAGAGAAAGAGGAAGAAGGGTTCTACACTATTCCTGAGGGTCCGGGGAACTCACTTGGGCACAGCCCTGTGTTCCCAGAGTTCTAATCCTGCCACCACTCCCCTGACACCCATGGAGGATGCCCTCCATGTGGTGGGGCTGGAGGTGCCAAGGTGGCTGAGCCCGGGCTCTCCCACAACCACTGATTTCCTGTTCTCCTTCAGCGCATTCGCTCCAACCTGGATATCCGGGCATTGGACAGCCCCCGAGGCCTGCGGACAGAGGTCACCTCTAAGATGTTCCAAAAGACCAAGACCGGGTCCTTTCACATCAGGAGGGGGGAAGTGGTATGATCCGTGTTGGGCATCCAGAACAGTGCCCTCTGAGGGGTGGGATCCTCTTGAACCCCTCTGGGGTCTGAGACCTGAATCTCCAGTGTCAGCCCCTTGGATGACCTGGGCACATTGCTCTGCTTGGGCACCCGTGTCCCTAGCTGGGATGAGTCAGAGCCTGGAGCTCCGAGGCTGGTGAGATGAGCACGGCCCAGAGAGTAGCAGGTGCTTGCTGGCATCCTTGTTGTTCTGACTCCTGGAAGGAGGGCGTCCCAGGGCTGAGGAAGGACACACACACAGGAGCTGGAGGGCTGGGGGTTCGTGTTACAGGCTGGCGCCTGGCGCATCAGGCCCCCACCTTGGCTGATGGTGGAATCCCTGCAGGGCACGTACGACGTGCAGCTGCGGGCCGTGGAAGACGTGGATGGCACACACGTGTGCCAGCTGGCAGACGACGACCAGAGGGGCAACATCCACCTAAAGCCCTCCTTCTCTGACGGCCTCCAGATGGACGTGGACATCATCTGTGATGTGTGCGCCTGTGAGCTGGTAGGACTCAGCACTGCCCGGGGGTGCGGGGGGGAGGCTGAGCAGGGGCTCCTGCACCCTGAAAAATGGAGCAGAGTCTTCTGGGGGGCCTCACCCCCGCTCTTGCAGGATGTCCTGAGGCCCAGGCCTCTCCCTCCACGTGCCCCCCTCTTTGGTTTCCTTCCAGCAAAAAGAAGTGCGATCCGCTCGCTGCCACTTTCAAGGAGACTTCATGTGCGGACATTGCGTGTGCAATGAGGGCTGGTGAGTGGGGGGAGGAAGTCCCGCCCCAGGATGTCACCTGACCATGGAGGCAGCTTGGCTGCCCAGCTAGGGCTGGGGTAACAAATCACAGAAAGGTCTAGGAGAGAGGTAATGGCAGTTGTTGGGCAAAACCAGTTTGGGACATTTAAGATGATCCCTACTTAGAATGGTTTAAGGGCTGGGAAGGTGGCTCAGGGGTAGAGTGCTTACCCCTCATGCATGAGGCCCTGGGTTCCATTCCTCAGCACCACATAAACCACAACAACAAAGCCAGAAGTGGTGCTGTGGCTCAAGTGGTAGAGCGCTCGCCTTGAGCTGAAGAGCTGAGGGACAGCGCCCAAGCTCAGAGTTCAAGCCCCACGACCGACAAAAAAGAAAGTTTACATGAGGATTTCTTTTTTTAATTTTTTTTTGATGGTGTGAAAGTGATTCACTTTCAGGCATTCAAATAGACAGAGATAGGATGTTTGCAAGGTTAGGTATATTAAAGGTGATAGTTTCAATTATAATGGGTTTATCAGAATGCTAACTTCATTGTCCATCATAAGCAAGGAGCATCTGTACCCAGACATAGGGACTGTGTCTAGAAAACTACAATGGAGACAGGGTGGCTGTGAGGGTCTGTTCTAGGACCAGCTTAGAGCAGAACACCTTTCACTTCATACCCAAACCTTTCACACTTGCAGTATTTTTTTTCTTTTGCCAGTCTTAGAGCTTGAACTCTGGGCTTGGGCACTGTCCCTGAGCTCTTTTTGCTCAAGGCTAGCTCTCTACCACTTGGAGCCACAGCACCACAACTGGCTCTCTAGTAGTTAACTGGAGACAAGAGTCTCACAGAATTTCCTGTCCAGGCTGGCTTTGAACTTCATCCTCAGATCTCAGCCTCCTGAGTAGCTAGGATTACAGGCGTGAGCCACTGACACCCAGCTTCTATAAGATTCTTATCTTCAATTAACCACCAAAAGACCAGAAGTAGAGATGGGGTTTAAGCAGCAGAGTACCAGCTTTGAGCAAAAAAGCTAAGGGACAATGTCCAGGCCCTGAGTTCAAGGCCCAGTACTGGTACACACACACACACACACACACACACAAAAAAAAAACTCTTTTGAGATACTGAACAAGTCTAACATTAACCTGAGACACAGAAGCTATAAGAACAAACACTGAGGGCCAGGACCTTTGGGCTGAAGTTTGAGTCTCAGCTTAGCTGCTGCTGTTTGGGAGACTTGGAACTGCCTCAGCTCTCGGAGAGCCTCAGTGTCCTCATCTGTAAAATGGAGCAATAATCGCCCCCAGCCAGCCCTCTTCCCAGGCTGCACAGCGCTGACTGTTTCCTCCCTTAGGAGCGGCAAGACTTGCAACTGCTCCACGGGCTCACTGAGCGACACGCAGCCCTGTCTGCGGGAGGGCGAGGACAGGCCGTGCTCGGGCCGAGGAGAGTGCCAGTGCGGCCGCTGTGTGTGCTACGGCGAAGGCCGCTACGAGGGCCACTTCTGCGAGTATGACAACTTCCAGTGTCCCCGCACCTCCGGCTTCCTCTGCAATGGTGAGCACCGAAGCTGCGGCCGGCCCGGAGGGGCCTCAGGGTGATCCTGCCCTCCTGGCCAGGAGACAGGATTCCCAAGCGCAGGCCCAGCCCCACTGCTCACTCCCTCATCTACAAGTCCATGCCCAAGGCCCGTGTGAGCACCAGCTTCCTCCTGTTTTTTGTGGGTTTTTTTTTTTTTTTTTTTGCTGGTCCTGGGGCTTGAACTCTGGGCCTGAGCGCTGTCCCTCAGCTCTTCAGCTCAAGGCAAGCTCTCTACCACTGGAGCCACACAGCACCACTTCCGATTTTCTGGTGGTTCATTGGAGATGAGAGTCTCGTGGACTTTCCTGCCCATGCTGGCTTTGAACCACGATCCTCAGATCTCAGCCTCCTGAGTAGCTAGGGTGACAGGCGTGAGCCGCCGGCACCTGCTTTCCTCCTGTTTTAAACTCTAACACCCTGAGGCTCTCTCTGGCAGGTCAAGTCCATGCCCATCCCCAATTCCCCACTCCCCCATCTCATCTGGGTGGCAGGACACGGAAGATACCTTCTGCATATCCCTACAGGGCCTAATCATGTAAGACCCAGGCCACCAGCACAGAGTGGGGCCGGAAAAGTCAGGCAAGGACTGATGGTCACGGAGCACACATTAAGCCCCCACTGCATGCTGGCCCCCGGCATGCCTGAAGGTCATGCCTTGCTTGACTACCCTTTTCCCCATTCTTGGTTTCCCTCCTCTATCCCCCCACCATTTTTTCTTTTCATCTGTCCATCCTAGAATGCACTGAAAGCATCAAAAAGGAGAGCCAGGCACCCCTGGAGAAGCAGACATCTAACACAAGTAGAAGGGAGGAGGGGAGGAAGATGGCTGTGGGGAAGAAAAGTCAGTACAAGCAGCTTGGAAAAGTCAGAGTATGAGCAGCTTGGGATCTGCTCCCCAGCAGGACATTGTGCTTCAGGAGTCCTTAGGGTTTTTGTTTTTTTCTGTTAGTATGTTTGTTTGTTTGTTTTTGTCGGTCGTGGGGCTTGAACTCTGGGCCTGGGCACTGTCCCTCAGCTCTTCAGCTCAAGGCGAGCGCTCTACCACTTGAGGTACAGCGCCACTTCTGGTTTTCTGGTGGTTTATTGGAGATAGGAGTCTCACGGTCTCTCCTGCCC